ACGCCCTATAGCAAAAATCTCTCAAAAAAAAAAAAATATTGGTATGTGTTTGGACTTTATGTGCATTACCCTTCTTAATCCTCACAAAATCCCTAAGGATATTGTATTCTTACGTATATATTACAGGTCAGAAAACTGAGGCTTGGAAGAATTTTGTACATTTTCAATTCCACATAACCAGTTAGTGGTTAAGCTGAGATTCTATCCAAATTCTCATACCAGGGGACAATCATTTAGTCAATTATCTGTCCAGAAAGAAAAATAAAGGTAGGATCTTAAAAGGCAATAGCAGAGCGGCCAGCAGATGGTATAGTGGTTACATTACTAGACTCTCACATGGTCTACTGTGGTTCGAGTCCCAGATCTGGTGGCTTCAAAATCATGCTGGGTGTGTGTGCATGTTTGCCCAAGATCCCAGAGGAGAATGGAGGACAAGGGATTGCAGCATACCATCCCCCTAGTGTGTGATTTCTCACTTTCCCTCTCACTGCCTCTGTCTGTCTCTATAGTGAGCACACATGCCCTATGTCAAAACCTCAAAAAGAAAAGGCAGTGGCAGAAAATAAATAGAAGGTGAAAGAAATAATACAATATGAATCTTTACAAAGAATTGGCAAATGATAGAAAAATTAGAGAAATTGGTTATTTTTTGCTATTTTTATAACCCTGGGTTATGATATTTATGAATAACTTATCAGACAGCTGGTGTAGCTATTAAGATACAAAGTTTAATGATATGTGATAGTGTCGATTAAATAGAACTTTTTAGTACCATTGATCAACTAGAATATACTAGACTTTCCACCAAAATGCACTTTTCCTGCTTCCTCTCTTATGTAATTATTCTTTCAGTGGTCCATAAAAAATCTTGGTTAGGTTTACACTTAATGAATTTCCAGTTTCTAAAGTTTCCAATTCCCACTCTGGCCATAAGACACAATTTTCTCCTCAGTGCTCCAATCCAATTTAGCTTCTATTCTGATCCTATAGCTTAAAATAGGTGGCAATGGAAGCAGTAAATGCATTCAATGAAAAAGGAATAAAGGAAATGATGATGATGACATCTTGTTTAAAGCAAAAATATAAAGAAATAAAAGTAGGTTTTCCTAGCAAAAAGCCAAATATATTAAGCAAAATAGAGTACAGTAGTTATGAAAATAACAAATACTTTGAATACCATACAATGAGGGAATGAGTTCTCATTAGCAAAAGACCTAAAAATTCTAGGGCCACCCGATGGCATGGTGGTTGAGAGTTGGATCCCACATGGCAGATGGATCAGCGGCTTTAAAAACATGCCATACACATGTGTGTGCATGCCAAAAATCTTGAAAGGTGGGAGACATGGAGAAGAGATTGCAGTGTGACCATGCCCAAGGGGGTAGGGGTGCCTTCTCATATCCTTCCCTTCTATGTGACTCTGTGGAGCACAAACACCCTCTGGAAAATTATATAAAAAAGAAAGATTTTGGATTCTAGATCCAAAAATATCTGAGAAATGGAATAATGATAGAGAAAGAAGAGACATGGGACAATTGATCTGATACCCCTTCCAATGAAGACGAATCTGCTGTAAAGAGGTGATGTACTTTCTCTGCAACAAAAAAGTATGACATTGTGTCAACCCAAAAGGATCAGGCAGAAATCTTAAACTTATGCCCAGTGCTTGAAAAGAATAAAAAAATTAAGAGTGAGATTAAATGACTTAGTCCTGCAAAATCTGTATCTATAGCCAGTATATTACCTTCTGAATATTTATGAACACAAATATTATTAATGCTACAGTTAATCACAATGTACATTCTTATTTTAGCCTACAGCTTTTGTCAAAAAACAATGAAAGTATCAACAGGTGACATAGTGTGTGGGGCACTGGATTCCCACATGGCTAACCACGGTTCAAGTCCTGGACTTGGCAGTTTGCTTTCTCACTTTCCCTCTTTATTCTGTCTGTGTGTGTGTGTCTGTGTCTTTCTGGTGAGCACATGTGCCCTATAGCAAATTTAAAAAAATAGTAAGGGAACCAGCAGTTAGCGTAATGGCTATATCGCTGGACTCCCACGTAGTCGACCGTGGTTCGAGTCCTGGACCCGGTGGTTTAAACTCATGCCGGGCGCATGTGCATGCATGCCCAAGATCCCGAGAGGAGAATGGAGGAAAAGGGATTGCAGCATGGCCATCCCCGCTGGGTGTGATTTCTCGCTTTCTGTCTCTCTGTCTCTCTCTGTCTCTCTGGTGAGCACACGTGCCTTATAGCAAAAACGTCTCCAAAAATAAATAAATAAATAAATAGTAAAAATGGTAAATTAAATTAATCACTCTTTTTAAAAAGTTACAAAATGGGATATAATCCCTTGACACTATTCATTTCTAGAATTCTAGTCACTAAAAAAGATTGTTGAGTATGATAAGAGGTGGTGAGAAAAAGAAATTGGCTAAAATGTTGATGGTAGGATCATGGGCAGGAACAGTTTTTGTTTTTTTTTTTTAATTCTGTATTGGTATTCTATTTAATAATTTGTTCTGGGTGTACTTGCTTCATGAAGCTATTTGTCATCAGGACAAGCATCCAGTCTTTAATAACTGGCATCCAGCAAGTGTCTAGGAGTGCTTTTATAATATAGATCTCTAGGTTATTGTAATAATCCTCTCATATAGCTGTTTACTGGACAACAGAATTAGTGAGATCATTGATTCTTCTTTTTCTCCCTCTCCTTCCCATTCTCCTCTACTTGCTTCTCTCTCCTCCTATTCCTCCTCTTCCTCTTTTGTCTCCTTCTCTTCCTTTTTCTTTCTTTCTCCTCATCATCAAATATGTAAAACCAATTTTAAAATAACTTCTATTATCTCTTTCTCCAACTATGAAACAGTTTAAAAAGGTTTGGGGAATATTTTAGAAAATGAAAGTAGGGACCAGCAGTTGGTGTAATGGCTATGTCACTGGACTACCATGTAGTCGACCGCGGTCCGAGTCCCAACCCGGTGTCTTGGACTCACACCGGGCACGTGTGCATGCGTGCCCAAGATCCCGAGAAGAGAATGGAGGAGAAGGGATTGTGGTGTGGCCATCCCCCCTGAGGGATGATTTCTTGCTGTCTCTCTGTCTCTTGTGAGCATACGCACCCTATAGCAAAAACCAAACCAAACCAAAACAAAACAAAAACTCTAAAAAAAAACATGGAAGATGAATAGTTATATGAAGTCATAATTCTGGGGCTTTTTTTTCATATTTTTGCCTATAATGTTGAACTCATTATGTAACCATAGGCCAAAACACAAGTATTTGCCACTCAGAAAGATTAGTCTATATCAAGATGTTTTCTTTTCTCCCTTATAGTACTTAGAATAAAGATCTTAAACATTATATAAGTAGGAGAGATTTAATTAAAAACTTGAAGAAATGTGTTACTATTAATTGAATTCTTGCTACAGTTACCTTTGCACATCAACGTTAATAAAATTTCAGTTCACAGTGTTTGAGTTTAGGGAATTGAGAGAGCTATTTATTTCCTTACTTGAGATGCCAAGATAATCTCAGTAAAATAAAGAACCCAATTAGGTGAGTTCTCATTTGTTGCTATTGATCACGTTTACACAAACTGCTAGGATTTCTAAGAAAAACAAATAAGAGGTTCAAAGGCCATTAAACAAGGTCAGGGGAGTGAGAAAGGGAAGCGCATTTTGAAAGCCTTTCACCTGTGGAGCGGATAATGGACTTGCTTCTCTCCCAGCCGGGCTCTGCTCTCGCCCCTAGCCTGGCTCCCTTCCCCCCTCTGTTGAACCTTCCCGTTTGGTGTCTCTCGGCATTACTAAGCTATAAATTGCCCAACAGCTTAGAGACAATCAGGTCACCACCACTCTCACAAGGGAAAAGCTTCTTACTTCCGAGCATAACAGTGCAGCTGGAAAGAGGAAAGGGAGGGAACCTATGCTCTAGTCGTCACTGCGATGGCAAGGGGTGGAGAGAGATGGGGGAGGGGGCTCTCAAAAAAAAGAAAAGAAAAAAAAAAAAAAAAAAAGAAAAGAAAGAAAGAGAAAGCATCCCCAATGCTGTCTCACTAGACCCAAGTCTACAAACTTATTGGTCGCAGCAATGGAAACTCCCAGTGCACTCTCCACTGCCTGGAAGCCACTGCTGCTGGGTGGAGTTGCGCTCCCCGGCCCCACCTATGGGACAGAGCTTCCCCTGCAGCTCTGGTCCAACGCACCCTTCACGGGAAATCTCCCGGCATCTAGTGGGCTCAGATTATCCTACTGCCGCCGCGTATAAACCCCAAACCCGGCAGCAAATTACTGACCACCGAGAGCCCGCGGGCTACCTCCCTGTGGCTCAGTTTGAGGACACTTGTGCGGAATCCTTTCATAGCCCCACCTTGCCCTGCTTTCTAACTCTGCCAGGTCAAATGGCCAAAGACAAACTTCTGCCTCTCCCTTCTCCGCTCCCACGTTTTCAAAAACCCACAGCCAGAGAACCCATACACATGGAAACTCCTAGGGCGCTGTTGCAGTCTGGGCATGCTCAGTATCAGGAAAGGTTTTGATTGAAAGTAAAAAAAAAAAAAAAAAGCTTTGTATTATGCTATCTGCTGCTTATGTGCATATGGCTTGCTGAACAGGTTGTAGAGCATCCTGAGCCTACCCAGAGGGTTTATCAGGTGCCCTTGATTGTGTCTCCTTGGGATCGGTCCCTCTCTTAGTTCATCACCCTCCCCCAACCCTCCTCAACCCCCCTTCTCAGGTCCCAGTCCGCTCTGGGGATGGAGAGACACTAACAGAACTGGGATGGGCGATGTTGGCTGAGCGGATCCACCTATTATTAGTGCGTCCGGATTGGCTCCTTAACGCAGCGTACCCGGGGTGGAACCAATCAGGCTGCTGGGGCTGGGAGATGATGGGCGGCCGCCTCCTCACTGGAGGGATTCCTGGAGAAGCTGCAGTGTGGGGATGCTCTAGACCGAGTACTGCCCCCAGTGTCTTTCCACCTCCTGCAGCAGCGGCGGCCGCAGCAGCAGCAGTTAGCAGCAGCAACTTGAGGCTGCACCCCGAGCAAGCCCCCAGGGTGGTGCTTAACTGAGAGGGGGGCTTAGCTCCTGGAAGGGGTGTGTGTAGGGTGGGGGCGGCCAGCTGGGACCAGCTGGTGGCCCTGGGAAACCTCCCACACACCCACACCCACACACCCCTTTTGTGTTGCAGGCTGCCCCTCTGGAGAGCGGAGGCAGCGAGAGAGTAACGCGTGTGCCTCGCACAGGTCCGCACAAGCAGAGCATTTGGGACCGAGACCCGGCACCACCTCCTGGTCCTCCCTCCAGGTAAGGCAGCGGGATTGGCGGCGTGGCCACCTCGGCAGTGCCTGTGTGCTTGGATCCGTCCGAAAGATTCTCTTCTCGAAACACTTGGGTTTTGGTGGTGGGAGACTGAGACCTAGGGAAGGATCGCCGGGTGGCCTATTGTGAGAAATAGGAGACCACATGTGCATCTCCTGGAAAAGCACTTTGCACAGCGCCGTTGATTTTAGAGCCTGGAGTTGATGCTGGGCATCCCCCATGTTCTTGCTTCCTCTTTCCTTTTCTCGTTCTCTCTCTTCTGTAGTCCCCCACCCCCAGTCTCTCTCTCTCCTTCACCCTCCTCCCACCCTAAGCACGCGCTGGGTTTCTTTCTCCTGTAGAGGATTGTCTTTCTTAGAGGAAAGAGGGGGAAGTGAAGAAAAGAAAAAGATTTCTTCCTGTCCAGGGGGGTGGGAGCATGAGATAGGATATAACCTCTGAGAAAAATTAGAATACAGAAAGCAATTACACCGAATAAGGAATTAAACTGGGTAAGGGGAGTAGACAAGCCATCCAGCTCCTACTGTCTGAGACAGGAAGCATCAAGTTTGACTTGGTCCCCTTGCAAAAGGCTGTGTCTCTCACTTGATTCGTTCACATGGAACAAAAATAAACCGACAATCCAACCCACTTTCAACTGCTTAATTGCTGTTGCTTTTAAGTGCCAACCATCTGACTTTTCCTGGTCCCATCTGTCCTATGGGGCTGACAATTTGGTATTGCACATCAGTGTTAATGTCTGAACTTTGAGGGGTTTCTTGAGTAAGGAAATAAGCAATTAAAAATAGATGATTACTTTCCCGAGGTTTTTTGGTATGGCCTTTATGTTGGAAGGTGAGCAAGCGAAAAAATGTAGAGTTGCAAAACATGAATTACACCAGTGTTTTCAAGAGGCTTGGATTTCTACTTTGAGAGAGCTAATCTAGTTAGCACTGTGTACATGTTGATATTCAGCTCCTCAAATATTAACCCCTTGGTGAAATAAAGCAACTATTTAACTTTTGAGTTAAAGCCGTAGCTTTAACATTTGTGTATGGATTCTTATTCTACTCTGTCTTCCTACTGTCTACTTGTATTTTATTTGCCTGCATTTTATTCGTGCCTTGCCGTGTTTTCTTTTAATCTGAGACACTTTAATGAAGATAAACATGATGCTTATACAATTTCAACTCTCCTTTTAGAAGGCACATGGGAGCTCAGTTGGCCAAGAATCCTCTTGTACTGGAAGAAAGTTTAGAAAGTAATGGTAGAAAGATAGCCTCACATTTTTAAAATCTTAAAAGGGAAAACAGGTTTTGTTCTCATGTCTTGTTAAAAGAAAAAGATACCAAAACAACAACACACGCTCCTGGTTGCCTGCATAATAGGTCAAGTAAATGGAACTTGTTGGACAGAGCCTTGACAGCAGCTTCAGCAATTTCTAATTCCATCATCTCTAATATAAGCTTTCTTTTCCTATTATTCATCAGAGACAGCTAAGTGATTACTGTCAAACAGGAGGAGGTGAAGAGAAGTGTCTAGTTAGAGGTAATGAGAAAGCATTCCAAGTGGGTCCTGAGCACAGACAAGCCAGCAGATGTTAGTCTCAAGACAAATCTTTGCTTTTGGCTTATTGGGGGAATGCCCAGTTACATGTATATTTTTTTCTAGATGACCACTTGGAATAAGAAAAGGGAATCTTTTTATTTAACTCCAACATTCCCCATTTATCCATGTACCCTGAAAGTATTTTTCACCCCGTGCCTTTAATGTCTAAGTTTATGCACCAGGTTAGAGAAGA